CGTTGGGCGCTCGTCTAAGATGATGGACGGCGCTGAGCGCTCGTCTGAAACTGAGGGACGGCGCTGGGCGCTCGTCTAATCCGCATGTATGGTCTTGCTTCGTCCATAATGTGTAGTATTTGTCTGATATGTACTTAGTATTGTTGTGGGGATTTCCTTTTTTGTTGCTCGAGGCCGGCGAGTGCGCGCGGTCCTCGGCTTCCCTCTTTTATTTTTTCTTTTTCCTTTTCTTTTCTTTTTTTTTATTTCCATTTCCATTCCCTATTTCGGGGAGTATCTTTCTTTCAGGCTTCGGCCGAAGGGTGTGCTCGTCCTTCGGCCGGTTCGGACTTCGTTTATAACGTCCGTGATCTCAGGGGGGTCCCGTCGCCTATTTATGACGCGGGCTAGACTTTTGGTTGGTTTCCAACGGCTGCCGTTGCCCAACCCTGAGTGGGGGGATTCTACCACCTCGGCCATGATTTCAGGCCTGTCGTCCAGCGATCTGGCGCGTGGACGACGCGGTGAACTTCCCATTTCAAGACGCGGGCCGTTTGCGGGCCCCTCGTCCTGGGGACATCGTCGGCCATACCTGAGCGTTTCACTCTAGGCTTACGGGGCCAGGACGATGTGCTCTCTCAGCTAGGCCTGAGCCCTTCGCTGATAGAAAATACAAAGTGGTGCAGACCTGAGCCTTTCGCTCGAAGGCTGCTGATACGACACGTGGTATCTTCTATTTACATTTCCAAAAAATAAGCGGAATACAATAGGTGCGTTGTTCATGGCAACGGCTTTTGGGCGACGCGATTAGCGTCTCGGAAAACGAGGTGTACCATTTACCGCTCTCGGGCATAATGCCATGTGCGGCCGGTAGCGGCTCTCATTTTTAGATGCCCGAGTCACCAAATAAAGGTGACTAGGGTAGGTCGAGGGACCCAAATATAATTCAAATCATCAAATAAAGATGGTCGGAAGACTAGAGCTCGGGTCCACCACTTTGGGGTTTTTTGACCCGCTCTAATGGCGATGATAAAAATAATAATGCCAATAATAATGCATCATTAGCGACCTCAGGAAATTTTAATCCCTCATAATGGTCTTCACCACCTCGGGGGTTTTTAACCCGCCATAATGGTGGTGGAAATAATATAATTAATAATAGTAATAATTATACTACTATCATTTAATAAATATTTTAAGTGTATAAATAGGAATATTGGGCACTTACCTCTTATTTGGGCCGTTTGAGATAATGGGCCTATGTATGGATTGCATCTTTGATTCCTTACTGGACAAGCCCACCAATTAACTTGACCAACTTGACCTAGGTGGGATTAAAAACCTGCGGCTCTTACACAGTAGCTCACCGCTACTGTAGCAGTGGGAGCAGTAATGGAGAGGCCCTCTCAGGTAGCCAGCGGCGAAGCTCCCTCGGGGTGAGCCAGGCGAAGCTTTCCCAGCGGAGGAAGAGTTGCGACTTCAGGCAGCGGTCATCCGGAAGATCCCCATGAGGAAGGAGGGCGGCACTGTGGCGGAGAGAACTTAGATTCGGTCATCGTCATTCTCCAGAGCTTTGAGGTGGCCATTAATGGTGGACCTCCGAGGTCGAGCTCCAAAAAGAGAAGAAAATGACTTAGAAAGTTTGAAATCGTGGCTTAGGCTCCCCTCGAGCTGCGATGGTGGCCGGAGCGGTGGTGGAGCGGCCAGGAGTTGGGCCTCGTCGCGAGCGAGATGGCGAATCCCATATTGGGCTCCCGTACTTCGCCGCTGGCCGTCTAAGGCTGGGTTGGTGCGGTCCTGGGCGTAAAACAGCCGGTCAGCAGGGGAATTCCGGTCTGTTTATTACTGGAGCTCTTAGGGGGCATTAATGGCAGATATGAAGGTCCATTCTCCAGTCCGGTTCAGGTCCGACCACTGAGCCGCGAAGACGACCAGCTGCGACGCCAATGGGTGCTATGTGCAGTGAGCTGCAGCGGGTGGCGCGCGACAGCTTGGGCTTAGGCCTGGGAACTGGTGGGGAGCTTCTCCGGCCATGGCGGGTGGCGGCAACGGGAACGGCGAGGACGTCTCCTGCTTAGCTCTGGGAAATCTCCCAGACCCCAAATTCCAGTTTCTTCATTCCTTTTTTATTTTTCAGAACAGTTTTTGGTTGATTTTTTGTATTTTGGATGAATTCTTTGATGTTTTGGGAGGATTTCTCACTTGATTTTGCTCTAATCTCTCAATGAAAGCACCATTGATGGATTATAGGTATCCAAGTATATTAAAATGGAGAGATTGAGCTAGATAATTGGAGAAGATGAATAGTGGAAATGATATTGTGTATGAATTATGAGTTAGGGTTACAAATGGCTCCAAGAGGAGTATAAATAGGGAAATAATGGGTCGGGCCGCAAATATGGGCCCGGTAGCCCAACTACATAAAAGACTAATCTAGTACATAGTTACATACAAATGACATATAAGCAGTACAATAATACAAATGATATCCGTAAGATGTGTGTGGGCCGCTGTCCGGGCCCAATAGTCGTGAGACCCGGGGGTCCGAGTCTATATACTCTATCAGATAGAAAGACTGTTTCCGGATGACGCATAATGAAAAAGGCGTTGAAAATTGCACGGACCGTCTGCCGCTCCATAACAAAGAAACACAGACAATTTAGTGAGCCATTTTGCTTTATTTAGTGAGCCATATTCAAAGATAGTGAATCTTTGGTTCCATTGCAAATGATGGAGCACCTTTTGGGTACACTGTACAATAATATATTTCAGGAAAAAATCCTCCCAAATAAGCCTAGTTTGACAAATGTACAACCTTTTAATTTTGGCGAGGTACATTTGTCATGAATTAACTTTTTTTACTTTGTTAATTTTTGTATTGCTTTAACTAAATATATGACATGTAATGTAATTTCTCTTTGACTCTTTTTGACATTTTTTCCTGCCAATTACCACAAAGGTTGATTTTGTTTGCTTTAAAATTTTACTCTTTATTTGGAGAGGACAAAGGGACTTTGGAACATTAAATTTCCTAAGCTATATTTAAAATTTACTATCACCAGCATGGCAATGACTAATTTAGGCAGTTAATTGATGGGAAAACTGTCAAATAGACCCTTGTAGTATAACGAAAAAGTCAATTGAGTCCTCGTACTATCAAAACACCCAATTAACTCCCAATTAACTCCCTGAAGTATTAAAAATCACCCAAATTTTCTTGTTAGCCGGTTCCTTGCCAGTTCTCCAGTAAATGCTGACCTGTACACTTATGTGGCTCTTCTTTCTTCTTTTTTGACCATTTGAGGCTAGTCAAACATAGATGTGCACACTGTTCATCTTCCCGACAATGAGCAGGCCACCATAGCAGAAACACAATTTTTTTTCTTTTTGAGCATAAACATATATTAATTCAAAAGTCAGAAATCTAAATCCATAATTACCTAGAGCTATGCTTTCATCTCCAAAACAAAAATTACCTAGAGCATTGCTTTAGAAATGGCGGAACCCTAAGCTTCACCAGCATCATGGCCGGAACCAAATTTCTTCAGCGACACCCCCTTTTTCAGTTGGATTGGAAGGAGATTTCTTCACCGCCATCCCTCCAAATTGATAGAAGAAGAAAAAGACGGGACACAGCTGCACAGTACTATCTAGAAGGAGGAGTTCAGAGACGATATCCATGCGGAGAAGCAGATGAAGTACCAAAGGGACAAAAGAAATGAGCGGCGCCGGACGGGCTTAGAGCGACAATGATGACGGAGGTTGGCTGCTATGAACAAAAGGGGCTAGAGGCCATGAAGAACAAATAGAACACAGCGCCGACAGTGCAATGATGGCCGGAGGTTGAGTGCAGAGAGCCGGAAAATGTGAAGTTGCCGGCTAACAAGATGGGGAAGGAGGATCCCGTACCAGACACAAAAAGGGAGATGAATAAAAAGAAATTAAAAACACTACTCCATAGTTAAAATGCCACATGGACAATCCACTGGGGTTAAGAAAATCCACATACGCTTCTATATCAAAAGACTAACTTGTTTACTGGCGGGTGACTGCCTAAAACGACCATTTGGGTGATATTTAATAGTTCAGGGAGTTAATTGGGTGTTTTGATAGTACGGGAACTTAATTGACTTTCTCGTTATACTACGGGGGCTTATTTGTCAGTTTTCCCTTAATTGATTGATATTTATAAATTTCATGCCACCGGCCTCAATAAGTCAATATAGTTGAGATTAAGGTGATGCTAATGTAATTGCCTAAATCTTCTATCTTACCATTAATACAGTGCTATTTTCACATTCAAAATTTTCGCACAAAGTTGGAGTGTCCTCCATCCATGGGGTCTTGGATCAGACCAACATTACAAAACAGTGCTTTTTACCCTCATTATTCATTTATTACTATTTACTATTTAGAGGAATTAAAGCATTTAGGTTCTGAAAGGGTTCCCTCCGTTCAGGCTTTGAATTGAAAATTAAAAGCCAGAAGGCTGCTGGAGCGTAAAAAGCATTCTTGTTTTCTCAATTCCTAGTTTATAGACGAAAGATTGATGACAGTGGAGCGTTTTCTGTATATTATGCTGGTTCTCATTTTCTCAGTGTGTTCTTGTTTTTCCTGTTGTATCACGGTGATATATAAAACCACGCCTTTTTTAATTGTTATTATTGTTGTTATGTGGATAACAAATCAGCATAGATCCGTACTTACCACATCTTAAATAGGTGAAAAATACTTTAATACATTACCATTTTTTAACTTAACGATCTCAATTAGAGACTCTATGTTAGAGGATGCAATTGATGAATCTTGAAAAGTCAGAGGGCATATATGACGCTTTCCCATATTGTGGGGGGCTAAGGTAGAATTGTAGAACTTGATATGTATCCAAGTGCATGAATATAGCCAAGTTAGCTTTGGGTAAAAAGCATGTAAAATACTTCTGTGCTCATATGATCTATGCATTAATGCAGATACTTTGGCGATGATTCTGATGTATTTACTATTTTGATTTACTTATACAGATTTTTGAGATGCTGTGAAGGATTATGGTGTTGCAATGCGGGAAAAGGTAAATAGAGGGGGTGGTTGAGATGCTGTAATTACCACAGCTTTTGTAGCTCTCTTTGGGAATAAACCTCAAGAGTAGGTATATTATACTCCGTAATTTATTACTGCATTTTTTTTTGCGGTAAAAAATGTTATGCAGGAATGATGGAACACTATTTAAGTGTCTTCCATGTTATACAAAAACCGTCTGATTTTTAACCAAATCCAGAAGTCACATACTCCGTATATTATCTTTTACTTTAAGTCCTTGTAAAATTTGTTATTTTTACTTTTAAAAGTTTTAATTTCTGCATACATTATAAGTTCTATAAAAAAAATCGTAGAAGCATGAATTAAACTTGGATTTGTGAGTTTTGCTCAGTTCTACATTTTTAGCTCCATTAGTGCTTCTAATGAGCTGTACAAAAATGATATGCTAGACTGAAGCTCTGATAGTAGCATCAATATGTTTTTTATGCGGACTAAAAGAGGTAATTAGTGTAATTTGAAAGAGCTAAGCAAAAAGCACATGGATCTGAAACAAATAATTTTATGAAACGGGAGCAAACAATGCACTTCAATTGATTTATTTACGTAGGATGTTTGTGTTTATTAGGAGGCCGTTTTGTAACACTGAAATTAGTTGAATCAATTGATTGTGCAGAAATTTCTGAAGTACTGGTTGAAGTGGTTAGATTGGTTGGTTGATTTTAAGAATACAATTATATTTTAAAATATTTTAATTAATAAAATAAAGATAAATTATATGAAAATAGATAAAATGATTCTCTATAGTAACTTCAACCAATAGAACCAGAAAAATAACTTAAACTTACTCTTTCTTATTATTACACAAGTCAACGCATGAAATCAAAAGTTATATGTTTGGAGAAAATATTGACTGATAAGCCTCATAAGCCGAAAAATATGGTCACCAAATGGGCTCTAGATGTATGACAAGTGGTGTATAAAGTACTCCTTATCACATTTTCCATTAAGAAGTTTGAATTTTGCTTTTTTTGGATGTTCCAAAATTAAATTTGCATTTCTATAATTTTCTTAAGCAGACTTTTAAAGACTACAAAGTACAAAGTGCGAGTGAGACAAATGAGAAGTCATGATATTTCATTCAATTCCAAAATTGCACAAACGCATATTCCGTATATCACGTACTACTCTCTCTACATGAGAAACAATTAAAATAAAACTAAGATGAGAAAAGATTGAACAAACATACTTAAATACATCACAATTGTTGAAAAGAAGTAAAGTTAAAGAGAGAATTCCTTAAATAGGACTAAAACATAAATGAAATAGAAAAATAATATTTTATAGGACTACTAGTGTACTACTATACTAACATAATGTCAAGTATCTTGTCATCTGATGACATCAATGTGACACTCCCAATGAAGAGGTCACATGTTCGAATTTCATTTCAGTTCAAGGATGCTGACCCTAATATAGAACAAACACTATAATAGGTTGAAAAGTTTTACCAAAAAATGTACTAACATGATAAAATTATCTTTAATGAAACTTTCTGAGACTTTACAAACTTTGCGCAATCCAAGACTTGGATGACGCAATTGCCAGAAGTGTACGGAGTAGGACTCTCGCACCCTCCAACAAATCCATCAGTGATGGTGCCCTTTGGCGAGTTCGACGTTGCCATTGTTGACGATGCACCATCATCCTGCGAGTACCTGCAGACTTGTAGTGAGAATGTCATCGTGATAAGAAAATGACATAACAATGTATTTTCACACAAAAACATGGCATTTTAATGTGCGAAAAATGTGGTAGTTTTAGAAGAAAAATAAGGGCATTTTTAGACTATATAGTGGCACTTTTGTAAAAATGTAATTATCATATTCAAACCGAAAAGTGTAAAATGTGAGAAGAAAACAAAAATGAAAAATCAAATCTAGACTTCATATTACCATATTACATATCATTTCATAAGAATGACATCATTTGGCAAACAAAAAAAAACATTGTTTTCTAAGTGCTCAAATTTTTAAAATCATGTCATCTTAATAAATGGAATGTCAATAAAGTGACACTTTTCTAATAACTCCGGTTATGGCATTTTCCTGTATGAAATAAATTAAATTGACGGATTAAAAAAATGAAGATGAAGATAGTTGAGCACCAAAAAGATGATGAGAAAGGAGAAAAAAAAGAAGATAGAGAAAATTACATAGCTTCGTCTGAGAGAAAAAGGCTGTGGCTGTGGTCGATGGTGGAGGGAAAAAACGCAAATAGAGATATCAACTAGCTAGCCGATGGCGGCCAATTAATGTTTGAAGGAGAAGACCCACTTATTGAGTTTAATTAGGGGAAGGACAAAACTATAATCTGGAATCCTATTTTAGGAATTTTTAGGGAATACTAAACTTAAAGTCGTACTTAGGAACATTATTTATATTTTAGTTCTATTTGTGTAACTTCTTTAAAGGTAAGTAGTTGAAACATTCTATTTAGAACCCGTTTGATAGTTCATATTTTTAGTTTAACAGTCAAATTTTTATACAACACACAATTTTGGTTCCAAGTGTTAAATTATATAACAAAAAAGTAAGTAAGGTTAAATACTCAGATTTACTTTTTCAGTACATTGATTGAAATTGCTATAGACAACAATTTCAACTATTTTGCATATATTTTTTCCTTTATTTATTAACAAACACATTTTAAATATTTATTTTCCATAATTCAGTAAATTCAATCAATACAGTCAAAAATTCACCAAGTTCAATAAATTCAGCGATTTTGAAGCTCGTTTAGATGGTTTAGTAACCCTACTTTTCAGCTATAAGTCAACATTTTCATCAAACATGTAACGTTTGATTTCCCGCACCGAATTGTGTAATAACCAAAATAAATAAGATCAGAATTACTTATCCGATTAAAATTACTAGGCATGTTTGACAATCAGCAGTTAGCAGATTGCTAATGACGGATTCTGTTAGTGGATTTGATCAGCAAATTCATTTAGCGGGTTCTAGAAAGATGTTTGGTAAGTTTGTTTGATTCTAGCGATTAGTAGATGAAAAGACATATAAGGACATTAACCAAACTCCAACTCAAACCGTATTACTCAAATCCGTATTTTTTACTTATACCACTTCCTGAATTACTCAAACTCAAACCACATTTATTTATATGAATTTATTTATATGAAGTAGTTCATATGTTCCGTTGGAGAAGAGGAAATCAGCCACCAAAAGCACCGTACCATAGAAAATCAGACAAAAAGTTCTCACGGTGTTTTAAAGAAAAAAATCTTCCTTGAAGATCTGTTTAGCGTGTGTCTTCCGTAGCAAATCAGCTACCAAAAGCACCGTAACCTAGAGGGATACTGCAGCAAGAACAAATCCGATTTAAATTCATACCAGTAAACCATACTTTTGATCGTTCTATAATAATAATCTCTACTGAAAAAGTCAATATATACAAATAATCCAAACTCGTAAATGCGTCTACATAGATAGATTATTATCCTTCAAGAAAATAATTATAGTAATAATCGATATAAAAAACACTAAACTCAAATTTATGATAATGGTGAACAAAGTCAATACTATATCCTTATTACCTTATATATTAAATATCAAAAAGATGAATCTAATCTATCTATGTAGACATGTTTATGAGTATGGATTATGTATATAGAAATTTTCGTAGGGATTATTATTGTAGTCTTGTAGAACCGCTAAAAGTATGGATTATTGATATGAATTTCACCTTTAAATAATAAAATATATTTTAAATATAATTTTTGTTTAATTCAACATGTTTAGTCACGTCAACATGTTTAGTCACGTCAATTTCAACATAATCGATCAATTCAGTTAATTTTAGCGTTTTAACAAAGTTCTCCATGTGTAAGTGGAGATAGTTCCTTCATTTCCCTTTATTTGGCTCAAATAACCCACTTAACTGTCTGAAACACCACAGTATTTGCGCTCTTCCAAACAAGATTTTAGAAAGTAGATAAATATATGATGCAAAGTCACTTTATAGAAAGGTGATGAACCTATGGGCTTCAACTGAAATAGAAAAAGAGCAGTGTGGGAAGTCATGTGCGCGGTTTGGTTACGCCTTTATGGCTTCCACCTTTAATTTTCTATCTCCATCTCTTTCTTACCTTTCTTTGTGTTAAATAATTTATCAACAGCGAATTGTGTTGTATGATGGGGACAACACGCCAAAGGACACCTACCCTTCCCTTTCAATGCTACGGAGGCAGCCACCGCAAGACAGGCCCCCTTCCGCTCTAGCAGCTTAGGGCCGTTAGGGGGTGTATTGTATTAGGAATTAGTGACAAAGTTTTAAAAGTCTAGAAGTTTACAAAAGTCTAGATGCGTTCAATGTAGACTTTTAAAAGTCTATAAAAGTGTAGACGTATTCAAACTCCCGTTCATTCTTATTTACATTTAAAATCATGCATTCTCGTGGAATTTAACTCATTTATAGTGCATTATTTCTCTGCAATTGTCTCCTCTTTTCACCAAAGATTTTCGTAGACTTTTCCGTTGTCTTCTACCCTTCAACAAGTACACATAGATCACATAGACTTTTAACTCATAGATCCGGTTGCAGATTTGGTTAATTATTTACCCGAGATCACAACCCGCCCAACAACTCTTGGACTAGTACCGTCTGGATCGGGATGTGGGTACCGGTCTCAATATGCAAGATCTGAACATTAAATTTTGAGTTTTCATCATTTTACGATAAATAAAGATGAGCAAGGAGATTCTACATTAATACTGATACACAAGATAATCTTAATAAAAATTAAAGAGTGATGTTTTATATGCCGTTTTACAAAGAAAAATGTAGGGGTGATATCAGTTATTGAAAGAAAATTAGGAACCATTTGAAGAACCGTTAATCCTATATCAATTCGGTTTTAGAAGGTTTTAGAAGAACCGATATAAGAAACGATAGTATTACATCGGTGCAATTTTGGTACGTTGTCAGCTAGTTAACCATTAAGAAAAAATATTTTAACTATTAATGTGTTTCATCATTAAACTGCTTAGACATAAAAAATATAAATGCAAATAAATAAATATTTGATGGCAAATAAGTATAAAAAATTTAACAAGCTAAAAATGAAAAGAAAACAATTATTAAGAAGAAAAGCTCATTGAGTAGCAATGAGTGTAACATTCTGTAACGATTAATGTTTTTACTCATTAAGTTGTGTAATATAACAATTGATCATAAATGGATCGAGATTGTTGAGCATTCTCGAAACTTTGGGTTTCTTTTTAATAAAAATAAATTTTGATTCTTATGCTTCATTTATTTTTCTAGAACTCCGCGTTGCTAGATATATTACATT